TTAATCAAATGATTGATTTATTTCTATATTCTTTTCTTCTTTATTTTAATGATTTATCAATGATTCATTTATCATTTCAAAATAACAATCAAAAGAAATAAAGAAATGATTAACACATTGTTAAATTAAATGAATAACATATTATTCTCATTCATTTAATTTTATTCAAATCAAATATCATCATTTTTCATTATTCTTTTATTTTATTTGTAATCATTAAAAACCAATAATTAAATAAACTTCTTAAATTATTAGATTTGTGTCATTCAGTTGACTTTATCATCAAAACCTACCTTCCAATCATCCCAATTCTTAGAACATATTTTCTTTATATTTTCATTTTCATTATAATGGCATAACGCACCAATCATACATACTGAATTCTCAATACTATGACAACCAAATGCATGTTCATAACAAGGAATTGGCATTTGTAACCCACCATCAACACCTAATGAAGCAACAGGGTCTCTATCAGGAATTACAGCACGTGCAAACAATCTTATATCCTTTTTCTTCAACCCTCGTGCTTTTGCTCCTAAATAAGTTCCAGGAGGTGATATTCCAAAACTTACTATTCCTAATTCACTTCCAACAATATTTGCAATTCCTCCTCCAAGAGAATGTCCAGTAACAATATATTGTTTATTTGATGCCTTGCTCATTTCACTTTGTACTACTGTTTTTGCAATATCAAGTAAATCATAACCACTTATTGGAAATGCCTTTGAACCGAAAAGCGATAGAATATAACTTATTTTTAAAAGAGCTTGATTTGTAAATACTGGAAATATTGAAACTGACAAAGGTGGCAATGCAGATTCTGTGAATAATTTAAAATCATAAACCCAGTCAGAGAATTCATATGATCCTCTAAATCCAAAAACAGTAATATCTGTATTCGTTTTCTTCGCAATAAGGTAATGTAAGACAGGACCATCTTTATTGTCATCTTTTTTCTTTTCATGAATTTCAATTTCCTTCCATCCAATACCGTCAAGATATTTCTTTATGTTTGCATACTTGGCGTCATTTACATTGTCTGCATATGCTAAATTACTTAAACATGCATAATCAAAAGGTGTAATACCATATGAATCACTTTCACATAAATGAGAATGTTCATACACTTTATTTTCTGTTCGATAATACATCTCTTCATTCATTTCATCATCATATGAAATTCCTTCATATATTTCTTTCATTCTTGCTCTGAATGAAATATATTCATTTTCTTCTTCAAACATACTTTTTTTTGGAGTTGAAGGAGATGAATCACTATGATTTGTTTTGCCTTTAAGAATTCCTAAACCAATTATTATTGCAACAATAAGTGAAACCATTAGTATCAACAAAGCAAATGAAAATTTAATATTAAATCCACATGAATCTTTTAGTACTTTGTGCCAATTATCTTCTGTTTCTTCATTACTTTCTTTTTTTGGATTTTCTCTTTCTTCATCATTTTCTATTTCTATACTTTCTGTATCACTGTATGTAATTGTACCATCATAATACTCATCTTCATCATCCTTTGGTTTTTTACTTAATGCTCGAATTGATGGAATAGCTCCAGATATCAATGAAATAATAAATATCAACACATAATATCCAATATTTCCATTATTATTACATGAATGTCTATTAGCAATATAAAAAAGGATAAAAAATACTATAAAGAAAATTACTTTGAAAACTACTTCACTGAATTGACTTCCTAGCCTTACGCCTAGCCTTAAGGTGTGTTCACATTTTTTTCGACAGCAACATGAAAAACAACAGTCTATAAATCTATTTATAAACGAGTTTGGTAATAAATAAGCTATTGCTTTAATACAAATATCTATTTTTTCATCTTCTGATTTACTTGAGCAACCATTAGTGTTGTAGTACAATTTACATACATAGTCAATTATTGAAATAATAAAAAATATTACTCCAATACATATTAATCCTATCAATAAATAACAATATCCCATATAAGTTAATACACTTGGTTCTCCATGTTTTTTTGTTATGCAAAGTCCAGCAATTAACCCAGCAATCACATCAAAAAATAGAACAGTAATCCCAATATGATGAACAATACATTCAAGAATCCTTTTACAGTTTTTACAGCAACATATTTTTTTACATTTATCATCAAACGTTTTTTTTCCATTGTCATTTGATTTTTCATCTCCAAAGAAATACATATATGATCGGCTTAGATATTTAATTGAAAATAATATGAAATAATAAATGAGTTTTAGGAATAGTAATGATCCATATACTATCACATAAAGATAACAGAATTTATAACCAGAGGAAGTTGTTGAATCAAGTATTAAATGACCAGTAGAAATAATGAAAAGAATAAATATTCCAATAAGTATTACATTTATAAAGAATAATAATTGGAATTGACAAGCAAGGGAAATAGCCGATTTTAATGAGATTAAACCTGAAAAAATATTCAAGAAAATTTTACCACACTCTTTTCCTATGTAGTAACGACAATCTTTTTTCTTTCTTTTTGAAGTTTCTTGAGATTCTGTCATTTCAATGTTTAGATGTGTTTCTTGTTGTTGAGAGTCTGTCTTTTCTTTTGTTAATTGTATTTCTTGTTGTTGAGATTCTGTATTGTCATTGTTTACTTGTGGTTCTAGTTGTTGAGATTCTGTCCTTTCATTGGCTGGTTGTGTTTCTTGTTGTTGAGATTCTGTATTGTCATTGGTTGGTTGTTTTTCTTGTTGTTGAGAGTTTATCGTTTCTATAACTTGTTGTTCAGAACCTCCCATTTGAAAACACTGATTGTTGTTGTAAACCCTTTGAATAAATACCATGTGTTTTTCTATTTTTATTTTATCATCATTGAGAAAAGTTACAAACGAATTAATTTTTTTTATTACAACCATTTTCCTATCAACATTATTTATAAATGCGGTAATATTTTCTTCATTTAGATTGTTTCTTATTATTTATTTTATTCATTCTGTATTATGATTTATCATTTTACCAATGAAATATTATTATTAAATAATTTTTTTCAAATGGTTAAAAATAACATGAAAAGAATATAAATTATCGAATTGTTTCTATACCCCCTAAAATGAATCGAAATATAAACAATATTATTTATTAATTATATGAAATTTTAAAGAAATAACATCATATTCAAAATTATGTTTAATTTATTTATAAATAAAAGAATGAATAATAAAGAAAATGATATAATAACAATCAATCAACAAGAAATAAGAAGAAAAAAGAGAAAAGAATGATAATTTCAAATGAGTAAAATAAATGTGAAAATGTAGTTACAATTATAAATAATTAACAATACCATCGAATGAATATGAAATAAGAATAAAATATAAAATATAAAAGAAATAAGAAAATCATTAATATTTTCAAACAAAGAAAGACAAAGATAAATAAAACAATGAAAATAAAAAAATTCAAACAAATAAAAAGGGGGTAAAATAATATAAAGAAAATAAAGAAAAGGAAATAAGAATAAAAACAATAAAATAAATAACGATGAAATGGAAACAGATATGACAAAAACGAATCTTGTTTAATTAAAAATAAGAATAAAAACATGAAAAAAAAGAATGATGAGTGATGTTTAAATAAAAATAAACATATGAAGAATAAAAAAGAAAAAAGAAATTGAAGAAGTTATGAATAAATAATAAAATAGGGTAAATGAAAGAAAGGATAAGTGAATATTTAAACACAAAACTAGAACGATATAATCATTAAATATGAA